ATTGCGCCTTTACAATCTTATTTGGTCACAAGTTCTTCCACAGCTGTGGAAATCCGCCGTTCTTCCTTTCCGCAAACCAGGCACTACGGAACATGAAACCTCCCACTATCGTCCCATTGCTCTTACCAGTGCAGTTTGCAAAGTGATGGAACGCCTAGTAAATAGACGTTTAGTGTGGTATTTAGAGACACCAAGTCTCTCCACTCGTCAATATGACTTTCGTAAGGGACGTTCTACCATAGACCCTTTACTACGCTTGGATACGTATGTTCGTAATGCCTTTGCGAATAACCACTCAGTTATTGCCATTATTTTTTGACCTTGAGAAGGCATATGACACAACTTGGAGGTTATAATATTTTAGCCCAAGCCCACTCCTTAGGCCTTTGAGGCAATCTACCATCCTTCCTTAAGAACTTTTTAACTGACAGGCATTTCAGTGTTTGGGTTAATAATGTGCTCTCCCCGGACTTTATCCAAGCTGAAGGTGTCCCCCAGGGATGTGTTCAGAGCACAACACTTTTTCTCCCTTTCTATTAATGATTTGGCCTCTAGTCTTCCATCAAATATTTGGTCATCACTCTTATGTTGATGACTTCGCTATTGCCTGTGCAGGCGCTGACTGTCACCTTATTACAGTTTCTCTCCAGCATGCAGTCGACCGTGTTTACAATTGGGCCACCAAACGTGGTTTTAAATTTTCAGCACTAAAACCCACCAAATTACTTTCACTAGACGCTCTGTCATCTCCGATCATCCTTTGTACCCCTATGGCTCCGTATCCCTGAACGTGATAGTCAAGTTTCTGGGCCTCCTCTTTGATCGTAGGTTATCCTGGAAACCTCACATTACCTCTCTGAAGGCAACTTGTCACAGCTGGCTGAACCTTCTTAAAACCCTTGCTCATTTTTCATGGGGAGCTGATCGTCGAACCCTCCTTCGCCTACATTCCACCCTTATCTTATCGAAACTTGATTATGGGTGACCAGATCTATTCAGGCGGCATCTCCTGCTACTCTCTTTTAGCCTTAATCCCATTCATCACCAAGGATTACGTTTATGCCTTGGTGCTTTCCGCTCTTTCCCCTGTCGAGAGCCTCTATGCAGAAGCGAACGCTCCATCCTTATCCGATTGCCGTGATGCCATTGCCTTCGCTATATGTACGCTCTCATGATCTCCGCAATCCTTCCATTTATAGAATGGTCACTGATATTAGTAGACTTTCTTTATTTGTTTAACACCCCCTGTTTACTCCGCCCCTTCTCTCTTCACCTTCATTCGCTCTTGTCTTTCTTAAATTACCACCTTTCTATGTACATGTAGCATCTCACTTTTCCCTACCCCCTGGAAGGTTCCAGCTGTTCGAGTCTGTTCTTTCTCTCTTCCTTGCTCGAAAGCCCAACTGTCTAGGGTTTCGCTTCCCGCTCTCTTTTTCTTGACCACTTTCACTCTCATTCTCATGCCATTGCTGGTGTACACAGATGGCTCTAAGTCTTCTGACGGCGTAGGATTCGCAGCAGTGTTTCCGGACAGCGTCGAAACAAGGGCATTTACTATCTTCGGCTAGTATTTTTACTGCTGAATTGTATGCCATCCTTACAGCACTTATCCTTTATTGCATCTATGCCTGTGTCATCATTTGTGGTTGTCTCAGACCCCCTTAGCGCTTTACAGGCTATACAGAAATTTGATACACCTCACCCTTAGTCCTCCGTATCCAGCTTTGGCTACGCCGCATCTTTACCAAGCATAAAGATGTTTTTTGTTGGGTCCCTGGTCATGGTTGACGTACAGGGCATGAAACAGGCGGACACTGCTGTGCGGTCAGCAGTACATGACCTACCAGTTTCATGTAGAGGTATTCCATTTACGGCTATTTTGCTGCAATATCTTCCCAACTTCACACCCGTTGGCAAAAAACGTTGGTCTACTATGCTCGGCAACAAACTTCAATCTATTTAAAACCGAGTATAGGTTACTGGCCGTTTCTTATCACCAGTGTCGAGGTTGGGAGGGCTGCTCTCTCCCTCCTTTGCATTGGCCATACTCGTCTTACTCATGGATTATCCATGGAGAGGGGTCCTTGCTCCTCTCTGTGAGAATTGCCAAGTTCCATTATCAGTTCAGCCACATTCTGTTGGACTGCCCACTTTATCAACGAGCACGCAGAATTTACCTCCGTCGTCGTCTTCGCTCTGCTGCTCTCTCTCTACCTTCCCTTCTCGTGATGGACCCACCTTTCATCCAGACTCTCTCATCGACTTTTTGACAACAACCGACTTCAAAATTCTGATACCTTCAGCCTTTCTACTTCAATCTCTTGCTACACTCTACCTCCGTTTCTATCCCCTGCCCCGCTGTTTTCTGTTTAACCTACTGATCATCCCTCCTCCCTTCTGCCATCCAATACCCTCGCTTCCTTCCCTACCCTGCAGCGCTGTATAGCCCTTGTAGCTTAGCGCTTCTTTTTGATTATAATAATCTTATGACTTCGTTTATTTGTGAAAAGGCTAGGCAGTTGCATGGAGATTTGGGGGAAGAAATTGCCTGCAAATAGTGGTGAAGTGAGTGAATTTAAGGCCAGCAAAGGCTGGTTTGAGAGATTTAAGAACCGTACTGGCATACACAGTGTGGTAAGGCATGGTGAGGCTGCCAGTTCGGATCACAAGGCGGCTGAAAAATATGTGCATGAATTCCAGGAGTACATAAAGGCTGAAGCACTGAAACCTGAACAAGTGTTCAGTTGTGACGAAACAGGCCTCTTTTGTTAGAAAATGCTAAAGAGGTCCTTCATTACACAAGAGGAAAAGGCAATGCCAGGACACAAGCCTATTGAAAGACAGGCTGACGCTAATGTTCTGTGCTAATGCTAGTGGGGATTTCAAAGTGAAGCCATTTACTAGTGTACCATTCTGAAAATCCCAGTGTGTTCTGGAAAAAACCATGTTATGAAGAATAAATTGTGTGTGTTTTGGAAGTCTAATAGTAAGGCATGGGTCACGAGGGAAATTTTCGTCTTGTGGTTCAATGAAGTGTTTGGCCCTAGTGTGAAGGAGTATCTCCTGGAAAAGAAATTGGATCTCAAGTGCCTGCTAGTAATGGACAATGCACCTGCTCATCCTCCAAACTTGGATGACCTAATTTTCGAGGAGTTTGGGTTCATCACAGTAAAGTTCTTGCAACCGAATACCACTCCTCTCCTCCAACCCATGGACCAGCAGGTTATTGCGAACTTTAAAAAAAACTACACAAAAGCAATGTTTCACAGGTGCTTGACTGTGACCACAGACACTCACTTGACCCTAAGGGAATTTTGGAGAGAACACTTCAGCATCCTCTACTGCATAACCCTTATAGGTATGGCTTGGGAGGGAGTGACTACCAGGACTTTGAACTCTGCCTGGAGAAAATTGTGGCCAGATTGTGTCGACAAGAGGGATTTTGAAGAATTTGGGACTGACCCTAATGAGCCTATGTCTGTTGTAAAATCAATTGTGGCACTGGGGAGTTCCATGGGGTTGGATGTGAGTTTGTAGGATGTGGAAGAATTGGTGGAAGACCACAATGAAGAGACTCACCACTGAGGAGCTGCAAGAGCTTCAGCAGGAAGAGCAACACATCGCAGCTCAGAATCTTGCTGCAGACGAGGAGGAAGAGAGATGGAAGAAGGTGCCTTCTTCAGAAATTAAAGAGATTTTTACTATGTGGGGTAAGATGGAAAGCTTTATGGAGAAACATCACCCTAACAAGGTTGTTGCAAGCCAGGTTGGCAACATGTACAGTGACCAAGTCTTGGGCCATTTTAGGGAAGTGTTAAAGAGACGCCATAAACAGAGCTCTCTCCACAGTTATTTTGTGAGACAGGACTCCAGTGACTCTCAAGGTGGTCCTAGTGGCATTAAGAAACAGAAGAGAAGCAACCCCAGAAAAGCAAATGGTACCTGAGGTGTTGATGGAAGGGGATTCCCCTTCCAAACTATAAACAATCCACTCTCTCCTCCTCCAGTCTCCCATACTCTAAGAAGAATCTCCAATAAAGGTAAGTGTTATGCTGTTAATGTTTCATTCATTATTTCCCATTGTATTGTTTATGTACTACATGTACATTTCATGTTAAAATTTTTTTTGTTTTAATACTTCTGGGTGTCAGGAACGGATTAATTGTATTTACATTATTTCATATGGGGAAAATTGATTCGTAAATTTCGTTTATAGTAACGGCTCCAGGAACGGATTAATTACGAACAACGAGGGACCACTGTATAAGGAAGGACAAAAACTCGCCTATACAAAAATATATACAATATTAACTAACTTGTATACAACTTATAACTACTACAAAAACTACCACACTCCAGTTCACATTAACTCACTAGCACACTGCTACTGATGAGTTAAACAAAATAAATGAACATTTATGAACAGGGAAGCTCCATAACCCCCTTCCTTTCTGCAGGTTACATAGCCTACAGTGGAAACTTTAAATACTCTCCAAAACACGGGCCCCCTGCATACTAGGGCTTTACAAATAAACAAGAGCACTTAAACACAAGCACCTATAGTATTCAATAAAAAAACTTCCCAAAAATTTAAACCTACTCGAACTACCGCCCAAACATGATGACTTCACCTCCGTCACCACCCGAGTCGTACTGAACTCAACACACCTCGTCTGCTCCTGTCCTGACCACTGCCTGACAGGAATAAAAACTTTCACTTTCAGTATGCTACACGGAAATGACACACTATATATGGAGCGATATTTATATATATAAATATTACTGTAGCACACTGTGTAACACTCCACTACACCATGTACTGATTACACCATGAACTATCCTACTATACCATGTATTACTCTCCCACAGTGTATCGCCCTCCTACAGTGTATCGCCCCCTACACAGTGTATCGCTCTTACCCCAAGTATTGTTACATTACACAATATACTGCTGCTCTACACTATATACCTCTACCACAATACCTACAGGTTTGCCCAGTGCCACCATCCACCAGCACAAACCAGGTGTCTCCGCATGGGTGTCTCCCCTCCAGTGGGAGGTGTCATAGGACGCGGAGGGTTTGGCACAGTCAAAGTTGGACGTCACAAAGGTTTGGCACCACGTATGTTTGCACTGTACGTTTTGGCACGCTTGGCACCACGTATGTGTTTGCACTGTAAATTTTAAATTTAGATCAGTACATGCTTTTCTTGGTATATTTATAGGCAGTACAAAAAGTAAAAAAATAATTTCAATGCACATTTACAAATTTGGTAAAGTTCTTGTATGGTCTTGTAAATTTGTTTGACCATGTATCAGGTTTGGCACTAATGTGCATTGTTGGCACTAATGTACATTGTTGGCACTCTTTATTGTTGGTACAATGTAAGGTTTCCACGATAAAAGTTCGGCACAGTACATGGTTGTAGTTATATATAGTTTGAAACTATTCGTGAAAAATATACAATTTTTTTCGACTAATAATTCGGAGGAGGTGAGGTCATAGTGGTACCATCCACTAGTCGAAGTAGGTCTTCGTCCAAAAGGGTTTTGAACAAGTGTTGAAGAATTCTTTGTAACAAGATCCCATGATGTTGCAGTGTCAGACAGTTGTGATGAAGGGTTTGAAAACCGACAAGTTGAAGATTGAGACACTTATGCAACATATGGGAATCTTTATTCAGGAAACGTTTCGCACACAGTGGCTTCATCAGTCCGATACAAAGTAGAAAGGCGTCCAACCTTTGGACGAAGACCTACTTCGACTAGTGGATGGTACCACTATGACCTCCCCTCTCCTTCGCCTCACCTCACTACAGTTTATAAGCCACGTCTACGGCCCAATGCTGTACATTCTACAAGATTGATGGACTAAAACACATCGACTCCAGGCTGAGGGACTGATTACCTCAAAACTACTCCTCTCCTTACGCCTTTCTACTTTGTATCGGACTGATGAAGCCACTGTGTGGCGAAACGTTTCCTGAATAAAGATTCCCATATGTTGCATAAGTGTCTCAATCTTCAACTTGTCGGTTTTTCAAACCATTTAATAATCGGCAGTAGTATAAAAGATTTATTGGTGCTGTACATGTGTAGTTGTGAGGTGACAAACTTGTCACTCATTGTACCAGTTACGCTGCTTAAGCAACAACTGTTATCTTCTTGACTTCGGCTGTTACAAGGAAATAACGTAATTTTTAATGAAAATTCCTAAAAAACTTATTAAATATTTAAACTGCATTTTTTGGGGAAAAATAATTTTTGCAAAATGTAAACTCTTCTTTAATTAATAATTGCGGGAAATGTTAGGTTTAAAAACACTTTGCGTCTCACGATTGTCAGTTGATGAACGGGCGTTGACAATTTTTTCCCCACATACTGTTGGTCCCCTGTGTATGTAGGTATGCTTCGAGAACTATTCATAACCCGAGTTAGTGTTGGCGTGTACAAGGTGTATTGGGAGACATTGTGCTAGCGACTCAAAGTTGTCAAGGGCCTGTTCAATCGCTTACGTTAGTTGTTCCACTTCGCTTCTTTTATGTCTTTGTTCTTCGTCTTATTCCAATCCTATACCACCCTTTTTAAAATCTCATCTGATTACTTGTCTAAAAAAATCTTTAATTAAAAACTTCTTAAGCTCTAAAACTCATCGCTCCCCCACCCCTTTACTTTTCCTGTGTCTGATCTTTCCCTAAAAATACATTGTTTTAGTTTGGGAAGTCTCCAACCTCACGCCCCCCCCCCGTCGTTCCTGTCCTCGGGAAAAGTTTTTCCTGCTTAGAAATCTAAAACCCGTTCATTTTCCCCTTTTGTTGGAAAGTACGATTATTTCATTTTACTCCTGCATCTTCTCGGCTCCATGTTCCCTGAGTTTCCCTCAGGTAAAGAAATTTTAAAAACCCATCTGTGTTTACAGAGATGGCTTAAATTGTACATTGACCCCCCTCCAATATGACTAATTCCCAACATTTCATATTAACACTTCCATAATATTCTACATTTATTTCTACCCAACTTTTTCTTTATCAAAATTCCGTAAATTTTTCTGTGTAATTTTTGCCCTTACACGTCACTTAAAGTTAATAGTCGTAGGCGACGGTTCAATGTTACTTTTATACTGCAGACCAAATCTCTTAAAAAAGGGGTAAGACGGTTCTTTGTATCTTACGGCTTCACGCAGCTGTTTTTCCTGATGTTGATTTTGTTTTTTCCGATCTCCATCTTCCCCTTGTATTAGTTGATGTTAATGCTCGTCATCTCTGGGGAAGACTGTGTGATCGCGTGGGGGTTAGTGGGGAATTTTCCACTTTCTTCCCCTCTTTTTTTAAAATTTTCGGGTACTCCCATCATTTAAAATTTTTACTCAACACTTTTGTATGGTTTGTTTCCCTTCAGAACGCCAAAATTTGGCCTTTTGTACCGATTACACGAGTGCCCCGCCCTTATTCGCCTTGCTTCCCTTTCTCACTTTCCCCCCACCCTCTTTGTAACTCGCATTTGGCATTTTTAAATCGAGGAGTTTGGGCCTTTTTTCAGACTTAAGTGGATCCCCCTTAGTTTTCCCCGAAGAGCTGTTACAAGTATTTAGCCCCCTTTTTTAACCCCGCAGCTTCACGTAATTCCCTCAGATTCGGGAAAAACACCCTCGGAAATGCATTGGGTGGATCCTGCTTGGCTGTCTCTTTAGTATGGGGGGGGTCTCCTTTTTATGGTTTTAAAAAGGCTTTTATCTGAGGAATTGGACCTTTCGGTATTTTTAGAACTGAATCTAATTACTCTAATCCCTCCCCCCCCTCTACCCATTTACCCCCCTTGTCCCCTCCCCCCCTTGTCCTTTCCCCTTCGTCCTTTCCCCCTCCCTCTTTTCTCCCTTTCCCGTTTTCGTCTTTGGGGCCCTTTAGCAGGGATTCTAGTTCCCAGGTTTGGGGGAAAAAAAAAAAATTTTTCCTTTCCCTTCCTTTTTGGGCCTTTTGATGGTGTAGTTTGACGTGGAAATTTTGATCTGGGGATGTCCCGATCCCTCTCGGTCTCCAGGGAAAAGGCTAGGGGGGTCTTTTGGAGGTCACCTCGGTTCAGGCAGGGGTGGCAGAAGATTCATGTGGCGGGTTCCGGCCCCCCCCTTTTTACTGAGGTGTTCGGTAGGGTTGGCTGGATTAGGTTTTTAGTCAATCTGCAAAATGGCTGCATGAGGTTCTCTTGGGCGGGAGGGGGTTTTTCCACCACAAGCTCCTCCTAGGAACATCCCTCCCCCTTAAACCCCCTTTTTTTTTGGGGGGGGGGTTGGGGGCAAAAAATTTGGTTTAAACCATGGATCCCAGTCCTGCTCCTCCCCGGGGCCCCTTTTTGCTGCAGAAACCCCTTTCCCCCACTCATTTTCAGACCATTCTTTGGGCCTTTGTAACACCCCGGTGCCTACTCACTTAACAGGGATTATTTTCAAGTACTGTACATGGTTTACTGGGGCCCAGCTGACGTCAATGACTACTACTGTAAGGAAAACCCCAAGTTATGTGAGCATTTCAGGCAAATTAGGTCATTTTGTCCCGGATGCGACCCACACAAATTGCTGACTCGGATATATTTTCTGAGGAATAAAGACAACCGGGTAAAGAAACACCCCAATATTTCTACCCTGGCGGGAAACGAACCCGGACTCTCGACTTTGTGAACGGGCTTTTTATATCAGCCCACAGGACCGGTCAGACGACCCTCTGACACCTTTTATACACCACCTCCGCCGTCTTTTACCATGCTTTCGGCTTCTCCCTCATGACAATGATTTTTCAGATTGCCACCCATCCGGGGCTGACCGCCCCGTCCCGCTCCCAAAGGACCCCGCCATTAAAATGATGTCATTGCTTCGTTACCTTCATTTTCTCAGAAAATACCAGCACGACACTTTACACAAACGTTCAATGTTACTGACTATCTTTTTGTTATAGTTCAACAAGGCTTTCCATCTCCATTGGTTCAAAATTTTCATATCACGCTTCTTAGGAATGGTGCACACATGGTCACGAACGAAATGTGGCCAGGCTCACAATCCTTCCTTTTCTCACCTCCATAGGCGATATTCCTGTCAAAATTAAAAAAACGAAATTTTTAGTTCTTGAAAATTGGTATCGTATTTCCCTCGTACCCATGTTTTCAGCGTGATTTCGGACATGTGATGCCGACATTGTTTAGCATTTTTGCTTCAAGATCTCCCAATTCTAAAAGTGGAAAACACCTCTTCAAGGGGGGTCCTTGGCGTGTGTGAAGAGGCTCTGGTCTAGGAATTAGACTATCGGTCTTCTTCCCTTCAGACCGACCTAATTACCCCCAATCTCCCCTCCCCTATCCCATTCCCCTCCTCCCTTTTTCCTTTCCTCCTCCTCCTCCCCACTCCTCCCTTTTGCCCTTCCTTTTTTTGTCCTTTGGGATTTTCTCCACAGGCGCGCTAAGTTCTGGGTAGGAAGAAAGGACACCGGGGTCCATCCCATTCCGTTGGTTTCTTGGCGGTGGCGTATTTTGCCGTGGAATCGGATTGCCTAGGGATGTCCCGATCCCTCTCGGTATCCCGGAGTAGTTTTGGGTTGTCTTTTGGCGAAGGGTTGTAGCTCTGGAAGCCACCTTCGGATTCGGGGGTGGTGGTGAAGGAGGTATGCTTTGTGGCGGAATACGGGCCCCTTTTATGTCCACCGAGGTAGCTCGGCGGTGAGTTGCTTATCCCAGTTTGCTGGTTTACTGGCATGAGGTTAGGTATGGCACGGGTTCCATGCTGCATCTGCGCTACTAGCGGTTCGAGTCCTCTTGGGCGCGGGGGGGAGATTTCGGCCCTTTCATCCCTCTAGGAATATCCCCCCCCGGTCCCCCCTTTTTTTTTCTTTTTTTTATTTTATTTTCTTTTCTTCTTTCTTTTTTTTTTTAAAACAAAAGAAAGAAGTTCCTAACCATGGCAGCCTAGTCCATAAACCCTGGTACCCCCGGGCCCTTCTTGATACCGCACCCGTTCGGGACCCCGCTCGTCTTTGGACCACTCTTCAGGACTTTCCTCATCCCTCTGTACCTATTGCCGGTGGTTTCCTCCCCGCTTCAGTTACTGAGGCCTCGACCTCGACTCCTTCG